GTCTAATGCTCCACTGACCGAGCCAGGCAGGTGCTCCCAAAACACAGTTTCTGTATCTTTCTCCCAGAGTGACTGTATAGGTATGGAGTCAGGAATTCTAACAGGCACCTCTAGTGACTCTAATGTAGATGGTCAACAAAAAAAAAATCTGAGAAATACTAGCACACACAGGAATGACTCATCTGCCAACCTATAGCATAAACCGGGGTAAGTAATTACCTGCCACCTCTATTTAGGTGACTGATTTGCTGATTACAGATGGCCCCCCAGGATACCAATCTCCCTTGCCGTAGGGAGAGTTTGAGCAAGGGCCATATTTCAAGTCCTTCGCCTATAGCTTTCTCCACCCCACCTTTAACACATGCGTGTGTGCACACACGCACGCACATGCGTGCGCATAGACACACACACACACACACACACACACACACACCTGCTCGTAGGAAATAGGTGCCTGTTTCTGGTGGGACAGCTCCATCAGTGTGCTCAGGTCCGTTCGCAGGTCTGTCTTGCAGCCAATAAGCAAAACGCGGGTGCTAGGACAATAGTCCAGGATTTCTGTCCTCCACTGAAGAGCCATGTAAGAAGGGAAGGGGGAAGGAGGAAGGAAGAGTCAGTGGCTAACCTGCAGAAACCCAGTTGGCAACATCACACACACCATCCAGCTTATCGGCAGCCCAGCCCTCCCTGAGTCACAGCATCACCAATGCACTAATTACATCATCTTCCTGTGAGGCCTTTGGGGCCACAGGAGTGCTGACCTGAGAGCCTGTCCCCTCATTCAGCAGCCCGGTTCACAGGGGCAGAATCTCCTCCCACTTTCTGCCAAGCATCTGGGGCCTGGATCTGGCCCCTCAACCCAGTCAAAGAGCTTCACGAGACCAGAAAGCCGGGAGGGATCGGGAGGAAACCAACCAGTCTCTTCCCAAGGAAAGGAAATAATCCCAAAGTATCCTGGGAAGTAGTCCCACAGGGTATTCTGAGACGCTTCGGTATGGGCAGACTCTGCCACCCAAACCAGGTGTTTCCTACCAGCATTTCTGCCCACACCTGCCTGTCTTGCCCAGTCCCACTGGGCCTGGGATCAAGGTCTACAGACGCTGCCTCCAAAAGACCCCACCTCCAACCCTCAAACCCTATCACTGAAAGGTTCTGACTCTCAGTCCTTTACCTCCTGAGTCTTTAATACCACCCTCCCTTGCTGGGCCCTTGGCAGAGCAGTATAGGATATGGCAAAGCCAGGAGGCAGAGTGGGGAGAGATCTGGGTTCCAGTCCCAGAGCTGTAGCAAATGGTTATGGTTTCGGGAAAATCTCTTCCTTCCCTGGCCTCAGTTTCTTCCTGCTCCAGAAGAGGGGATTGGACAACGAGGTCCCCAAGATTCTTTCTTGTTCTCAAGCTGAGTTAGAGATTGCACAGTTATCCAGACTTACCTTCTTGAGTGCACTATCCACTGTCTCCGGTCGGCTGATATCAAAGCATAGTAATACTGCATCTGAGTCGCTATAGCAGAGTGGACGGACGTTGTCATAGTAGGGAGATCCTGGTATGGAGGAGAAAGAGCTGATGGTGACATTCCCCCTTCCCTACGGGCCTAGGCCCAGAGAGACCCGGGAATACCATTCTTGGCCCTTAGGTTAGTTGGCCCCACCCATCTCCCAGGGGAACATGCTACAGCCTGGAAGCTTGGGACCTGACCACCTGCCAGAAAGCAGTACAAAAAAAAAATCATCTCCTTAGCCCTGAAAAGGGGAAAGGGGGAAATAAAAGGGAGGAGGGGTGGGTAGAATAGAATTTGGATCTCCTACAGGGCGCTTAATTTAAGGTCTACCATTTTTCTGAATCCCAGAGGAGGATACTCCCACCCCTGCAGAGACCAGGGCTTGTGTAAGGTCTCTTTTTTAGAGTCTGCCTGCTGCCCTACGTCTGCTCCTAGCTTCTGCTCCAGGGTCTCCCCAAAGGAAAAACAAACCTGCCTGTTACATAACTGGCTGCCCTGCTTCTTTGCCATGGGGTCAGAACTCTAGGAGGCTGGCAGGAGAGGAAGAATATCACAAATTCAGTGCTCTACTCCTCCCTGCAAAAAGCTGCAGCCCCTATCCCCCAAGATCTCAGGGAGGCAGTTTCAAAGATAGTAGCACCAAAGGCTAGGGATTTCGAGGCTCGAGGAAGGGTCCTTCACTGGGAGGGCAGCAGGCAATGCAGACCCAGGTGGTCCAGTATGGGAGAATGCTAGGGGCTCAGCCTGCCCCCCTCCACCCTGGGGAAGGAACAGTAGCAGATTTGGAACTCAGACAATCCGTGCTCAGAATAGCAAGCAGCCCCTCTCCCTGCACCACAATCGCCATGGAAACTGGGGGGAATCCAAGCTGGGGTAGGGGGTTGGTCGTTTAAAAAAAAAAAAAAAGAGTAAAGAGGAGTTGCAATAACTGTGGCCCTTCAGCAATCTGCCCCCATCCCCGGTCTGAGGTGGGGTCTTAGCACCGCAGGACTGAGCAAAGGGAGCACTGCAGCAGTGGGGAAGGGGGAGGGGAGGGGAGGAGGCCTCCATTCTGGCTCCAGGCAACCCCCCTCCCCTAAAACCAGCAAGTGAGTAATGGGAACAGGTTCGACCCTGGACCCTGGCCCCTCGGTTGGGAGGGCCCATCCCACACACCCCTACCGCTTCCTCCTTCTTTGTGGGCACCTAATTTGAAAAAAGGAGTTTGAGGATGACTGATAGCCTGCATCCTTTCTGAAATTGGAGGGTGGGCATGCGACACAGGGAACTGACACCACTTTGCTGACTTTCCATTATCCGGACTGGGATTCAAGAGCTGCATTCCACCGGGGGGGGGGCATTTGGGGGCAGTGGTAGTAAAAAGAGATGAGCCGCAGTGAGATTCTGTGAAGACTGAGAGGTGGACAGGGGACAGCAGACAAAATCCCATATATCACATAGCCAAGCTGCATTCTAGTCGGATCCAGCCAGCATAGCACAGTCCACGATAACCAGAACCCTGCCTCCCAACCCCTGGTGCTGCAACGGAGGAAGGCATACCAGGTGGAGGAATTTTTGTCTTGCTCTGTTTTGGGGAGGGGGGGGGGAGGCATGAGGAGATCTCATTTTCTGTTTATCCGTCCCCTACCCCCAATCTTTTCAGACCTCAAAACTGGATCATGGGAACAACAGCTCTTTGAGGAGTAGGATGGCATATTTATTACATGTAACAGGAAAGCCCTAGTGGCTTACACAGTTCCTCTTTAAACTCAGCCTGAATATCCATTTTTAGAGAGTGGATTTTCTTTTCTTTCTGTTATTCCTGGCTTTTAGTCCTTAATTAGGACTCTGAGCCCAGTCTATTAAAAAAGAATTGGGGTAAAGGAGATAATGAGCAGGGATCAGAATCAAAGTAAAGGACAGCCTAGCACCGAGGGGTTAGGGTTGGGAGGCTGGAAAAATATTGTTTTCTATATTCCAGAAAGACGGGGCATCTTCTACCTCAGCCCAGTATGGGGGCGGGGGTGGGGGGGACTGTCACAGCCACCCCTCCTCCCTGCCACTATCTACAACCTGACTGTGCCCCATATTAAAGCCATCTCCCCCACCCTCCAAAACATCGATGATGCATCACTTCATCCCTGAGCCGCAGCAGTATGACAAGTGGAACGGAGCTGCGGCAGGCGGACAGCAGTGACCCAAGATGGAATGCAGGAGAGAAAACTGAGTCAGGAGCAATATTCCCCCAAAGCAGGCTTGTCTCCTGGCCTCAACCACCACTGCCTCCAGCAGCACTGACTCCTGTCTCTCATTTGGCTTTGCTCTGGGGCAGTAAAGGCAGTTGGTGGGGGGGGGGGGGGGGGGGGGGGGGGGGGGGGGGGGGGGGGGGGGGGGTAGGGGTAGAGAACAGGGAGTGGAAATGGAGAAGCCCTATCTGACAGCCCCCCAGGTGTAGTCAAGGTTCATTCATCTCGCCATCCCGGCCCTCTGAAGGAAGGAGCTAGACCCAGAGAAGTGGCTTCTGGGGCTCATCCACTCTGCACCCCTGGACCAGCCAACCAAGCAATCTTCAGGTCCCCTTCTGTCAGTTTCCTGGCCAGTATCATACATACTCCTTCTCCCCACCAAAGAGGGAAACAATTTCCTAAGAGAGCAGCTGTAGCAGACCAGTGGAGGTGGGAAGGGGGCATTTAGGGTTGGCAGTCTTACCTGAGGTGTCCCAGAGACTGAGCTCCACCCTCTGTTCCTCTGTCTCCAAGCAGGCTGTGTAATTCTCAAACACGGTGGGCACATATGTCTGTGAAAAGAGAGGAACCAGTCACACCCTGGGTGCCCCTACCCTCATAAGCCTCTGATCAGTGCTGGCTACACAAGAAGCCACTCACCCTAGTGAGACACTAAAGTGGCAGGGGATAAGGGACAGGGAGGGGGGATACCTGGGGCAGGAGGGACCACATGGGACAGGAAGGAGAGGAGCCTAGAGGCACAGGCACTTTGCTCCATGGAAGAAAGAAAGCTGAATGACTTCCAGCCAGGGACAAGCCCCCCATATCCCACATGGTCAGGGAGGCAGACACACAGATTTCTCACAGCTCCAGACTTGTCTGTCTCCCAATTTTAGAGACACAAGCCAATTCGAGCTCTGTATCTTCTCCCACAAGCCCCTCGGACCAGCAGGGCAACCGAAGCCCGCCTGCGGACATGCTCGCAGAACCTTTGAGGATGGGATGAGGAGACCAGCAGGTATTACGTCAAGGAGAAACCCCAGACTCTGAAATGCCTCCAGTTCCCTCTCCCGAGCGAGCCGACTCCAGGTCGAAGGGAGGTAGGAAGGCATCTGATCGGGGCCTGTGGGTGAAGAGGTGAGGAGGGGCCAGCCAGCGCGGCGGCAGAATTGGAACAGGTCTCAGGGGAAGCTAAGACAGCGCGGTCCTCCGGCCGGGCGCCTGAAGATGGGGCAGGCTGGGGTGGCGTAAGCGGCGGGCGGCTAGCTCCCCCGGGCAGGTGGGAGCCTGGCCGCGGGGAAGACAGGCCGGCAAGGAGAAACGCTGGCCAGCAGGCGGGCAGCTCACCTCGGGATAGCAGTCCTTCGCTAACACCTGTAACATCGCTGTCTTCCCGCACTGCACATCCCCCACCAGAACCAGCTTACATCTGGCCACGACTGGCTGGGGGGGCCGTCTCTCCTTCATGACCGTAGCCTCCGCGGGACTTGGACTCCGATTCAGAGAGGAGAGGGTTGCGCCAGGGGCCTCTCAGCACAAAAACTCGGCCGGCTTCCTCGCCTCCCTCCGAATGGAAACGAGGCCGGCACAGCCACCTTATATTTCCCAGGCTGGGCCAATCGCAAGAGGAGGCGGGCTCTGTCAAGGCCAATCCCTGAGGTGGGATCCCCTCCAGCAGCCAATGGTGGGGAAATCTGAGTCAGTGCCCTCTTCTTCCCTTCCCTTTCCCTTAAAGCTGCACCGTTGCTTCCTCTGCAAGGGGATTCCCACGCTGTTTGCATTTGTATTAGGAAGGGGGAGGGGACGTGAAGCAAAATTAATGGTCTTGAGTGTCCATCAATTAGTGTCAAAAGCAAACTGGCCATGAAGGCAGAAAATGAGGTCAGGCTGGCATTGTCCCAAGAGAAAAGCAGGATCTGCCCCAACTATAGACAGGTGGCACCCGGGATAGGGGGTGGAACGGTGGTCCCCCAGATCTCTGACCTCTTTGTTCCCTCTAATCCCCGTCCAAACCACTTCTGGCTTCCTCTCCCAGAGGCTCCTGCTATACTTCTTTATCAGCTCCTGCTGTACCCCTTTCAATGCCCAAGTCTAGAATCACCTTCAAATAGATAGATAGATAGATAGATAGATAGATAGATAGATAGATAGGTCTTCTTGCATCATCTGGAAAAAAACCACACAGTTCCTGACCCAGAGATGGACAGAGAGAAAGGAATGAGGGAGCCTGGCAAGTGGGGATGAGAAAGAGGAGGAGACTAAAGCAAACAAAGTCTCTGTCTGTTGGGCCAGATAACCTCTCACCCCATGCCAGGCAGGAGCTGCTTAAGGGTGTTTGTTCTGCCGCCTGGGTTCAGCTTCCTGGATGAATCAGGCACAGGTCCAGTTCTAGGTTGACACTTACTAATGCCGACATGCTGTGTGTCACCTGGTTAAAGTTCAGACTGGAAGACTGGGCCTGGGACTTTGGATCAGCAGGCTGGAGGGCAACCCAAGGTTGTGATGAGCTAATGACTGCCTCTGGGCCCTGCCCCTCGCTAGACAGGACCATGGGGTATGCACAGCTCAAACTGCCCACTGATCATTCAGGAACCAAGATGGCCTAAAGAAGGCCTTCTGGGGATCAGGGTTTGGAGCAAAGCTGATCTTGGGCAAAAATGAGAGCACCCCAGAGTTTATCTTTAGGTCTCTTACCCTTGTCAAGCTGAGCACCTCTGGAGCATGCCTGGATCTTGTTCTGTCTGAGCTTTACCTTCATTGGTGCCCGACCCAGGATTATTTTCCCTGTTCTAAAGGATGTTTAAAAACACTTCCCAGACCCAAAGCGACAGATTTCTAAGAGTGAAATCCCCAGTGCTCACTATAGACAGGGGATGGATGGTATTTTGAGAAGGCAGCCTACCCAGTGTGCCCCTCATCAAATCCTGTGCCATCCAGGCCCAAATTATTTGTCTGAGGGCTCTGGGGCTAAGGCCTGCACTGTCCTCTACCCATCTCTTAGGGCTCCCCCTTCCAGGGGCCAAGGATCACCTAAAGGAATCTCCAGAGTAGTAAGAGTTACCTAGGTGCCACCATAGCCTCCTCTCCCAGTCACTCTGGAATTTTTTCCCTGAGACCTCATGCTCAGCCCTCAGATAATCCGTCTGTAGAGTGTGTCCTCTTCTCGCCCTTTTCGGCCACCTGACAGCTTCTCTGAACTGCTCATAAGTATGATTTGGGAGAGTTCCAGGAACAGCTGTAAGATCCCAGACTGCCTCAACCTGGAGTCCTTTCCCTCAACCTGACCTTTTCCTCCTCTTCCCACCATCAGGCTCATCTGGACTCAGCTCTGGAGGCCTCCGTGGGGTTCCTATACATCCTCTTAACCCTTAACTTGGTTCCCTCCAATGGTAGTCCCAAAGGCTTTAGCCCTCTCTCTCCATGTTCTCTACCAGCCTCCCCGCTATATACCCTCCCCACCAGCCACTCCAAAGAGCCATTCAGTGTAAGTAAAAACTGTTCCTGCCATGCAAACAGCTTTCTCTGGCTTCTAACAAGATTGCTATTCTCGAGCTCCTCTGCAAGAGAAACTCCGGGAGCTGGCGCTAACACTGATTCTTCCCTGGGTGACTGACTGCATGTCAGGGTAGGGCAGCGGAAAGCCTGAGCTGTGAGACCAAGCAGCCGCCATTGTGGTGGATTCTCAAGATGTGTATGAAGATATTTTGTGGGTCACTTGGTTATGAGCTGTGGTGGGAAAAGTGACGTGTGTGTGTGTGTGT